TGTGTGTGTGTGTGTGTGTGTGTGTGTGTGTGTGTGTGTGTGTGTGTGTGTGTGTGGTGGGCAAGGAGTGCAGAAAACAATTGTAAAAGTTTAGCCAATACAAATAAAATTTCACGTAAAATGGGCAACATCCCATTATTGACAGCAGTCTGTAGAASCACACACATTTATAGAAATGAAATTAATCCTAAAACTAGAGAAATGTTGAAAGTCCTTGTTGAAGAAGATTAAGCCGGGTTGTTAAAGTTAAAATAAGAACAGAAGCTAAATAGAGTCGAACGGTAAGGCCCTGTCACACTAAACAACTTATGCCAACTTATGAAACATTTTTTAACGTCTAAATTGCTAATAAAAGTTGTATATTTGATCAATTTGTTAGAATTACAGTATGTACACGCATAAAAGAAGCTTCCAGTTGATTTTTTCAATTCCATCTTTAATGTAGAGGTCTTTAAAATTTGCATAAGTTGACATAAGTTGTCTAAAATGTCATAGAACACAGGGCCTGTAGGTAAAAGCTAAAAGGAGCTGAGTAKTAGGGCTGTATATTGGCAAGAATTTGGCGATACGATACATTTCATGACAGAGGGGTCACGATGCGAAATATCCCGATATATCCCAATATATTTAGATACTGTAAACAAGGCGATATATTGCGATATTTTTGGTCCAAAAATTCTATTAAATAAAAACCTCTTACTGGAAAAAATAAACGAAAAACCAAAATTCATTGTCTCAAAAAATTCTAATATTACATAGACATACTTTTGATACATTTAGCTGTGTTCTGCTTTGTATGTGTTTTATTGTATTTGTTGCTAATGCTCTCTTACTCTCTGGCGCTCAAGAGGTAGGGGAGCCAAATGGCTGGCTCACTKCTGCCAACTAGTGGTCAGAGGCTGAACTACAACATAAAATGAATGGCTGGCTGGAAAGTTGACATTTTAAACCTTAATAAAAAAATCAATACAGGGCTTTAGAATATCGATACAGTATCGCAAAATGAAATATCACGATATTTCAGKGTATCGATATTTTCTTACACCCCTACTGAGTATACAATACAGCTGAAAAATGCAGAAGCAAAGTGGTAGTTAACAGGTAAAAGGAGGAAAAGGGTAACCAAAAAAGGGTGGAAAAAGTACTAACATACACAAGCAAAAGTTGTTACTCAGTTGTACTCAAGTACAAGTAGAAGTACCTGTGTAAAAATTTACTCAAATAAAAGTAAATCAAAAGCACAATCAATTCATGTCTAAAATAAAGTTATTTGCAGCTTACTGCTTTGCTGTGTCCGTCATTCCCATTAGGCAGAAGGAACATATCAATCAAAGTTGGCAAATCCTTTAATACTAGCGTATGTTGATGAAGCAGGGCTTCAGGCAAACAAAAAGGACTTTCTCTACTGATGTTGGTACATTTACAAAAAAATAAATAAAAMGTTTCCAGGCACTTTCAAGAGGTTCTAATGCTGAAGGATGATGTGTGGGTTAATACACCCAACAACCAAAATTTTTGGACTTATCCACTAATAGCTTTGGCATCTTTGAATTTGGACTACAAAAACACTGCGAGAAATAACAATGCTTTTCAAGATTGTTTAGCCAGGAGTTATCTGGCAGTTCCATCGCAAATTCTGACATCTGTGTCATTGACAGCACCAGGAAAGACTAAATTTAAATTTTCTGCWCTCCTAGAAACTCCAAGTACACAACAACATGTTTTTAAGGGAGAAGATCTCTGCAGTCACTAACWAGGAGTTTCTTTTGTGAGAAGAGTTTGTCCAAGACATGACCAGCTGGTTTGACTTTTGTGGGCGTGGTTTGTTAAAGACGTGATTGGTTGGATTGACTATTTTGGGTGGGGTTTGAAGAAGCTAGGGGCAGCTGGAAGTAGCTTGGTTTAAAAGGCCAGGAAGCACCTGTATTTTTTAAATATAAATAATAATTTTAGTCATAACTCGAGACAGGAAGGTGCTATCCGCATGAAATTTGAAGTCAATAAAACTTGTGTACATGTTCACAATAATTTTTATTTGAGACATTGTTCTGTTTTAAACTGTACATAGTCAATAAATCATATTTACATATTATATATTTACTAGTACCATTACGTCCTTTTTTAACCTGTTAACTTGCGGTGTAACCCTAACCCAATATAAATTAAGTACTACTCTTGAACGCTTTGGAGTAAATTCACAAGCCTAGTCTCTAAGGAACAGGCTCTATTACACCATGAAAGTCTTTTGGTCCACTTGTTTGGTCCGGACCAAAAGTGGACTTTATTTTTTCATTTGGTGCGGTTTGCATTCACATTGTGCTTTTTTGCAAGAACTATAAATTGTAAACAGAGCCACGAGGGTGACGATCATTGCTTCCACTGGACAGAAAGGACGATAGAGGGACTGAACACACAGACTCAGAAGAAAACATGGAACTCCTGCGTGCTGCGGTTCTGATGCGCACATTTGTACTGATAGTACAACTGCAATACCATTTAAAATGTCAAAAGCAGCTAATTTAATGGTGGTTTTGCGAAGATATTCTAATTTTGGAGTGCCGTCAATAAATTGCCACAACCCTAAGGAGACAAGGTGCTCTGCATGTTCTGACCCACTACATGCTGGCAGTAGAGCTGCTAAGCAGGAGACGACAAATAGGGTGTGATTTCAGTTGTTTTAGCTCAGCAACGGTGGCCTGTGAAGTCCAAAAAGGCGCATGTTTAATGCAGTTGGTTCGGTTAGAGTCCGGTCTGTATTCACACCAGAAGCGAACTGAAGCGAACCGCACCAGAGTTCATTTGGAAGAGGACCAAGACCACCTCAAAAAGCGGGTCTCGGTCCAGTTGTTTGGTCCGCACCAGAGGCCGCATGAGTGTATTCACACCTTTTACCATCATAATTTTTGTAAATGTAACTAGTTATTGAAGTTAAAGGGATCAATGATTAGTTGTAACATTAGACTTTATTTGATAAACATACTGTATATTTTAACTGTAAAATAAAGACTGTAAAAATACTGTAGGCTGTTTAGTTTTTATGATTTTTAAACTAAAAGAGAGCGTTGACAGAGAGGAGAAGGTAGAAATGACTCAGCCTGTAACTGAAAATATGGATGGGACAACAGAGCTGCTTCATGGAAGAAGAACCTCAGCTTAGCCTTAGCCTTAGTTTGGTGGGTGTTCCTTCATTAATGCCTTTAATTATTTTCTTTGTGGAGGTTTTTTAGCTAAACTAAAAAAATAAAAACACAAATCCATACATTATAAAAGCAAGCCCTTAGTTCAGTTACAGCCAGATGCTTTTCCTAGTTTCAGTGTGTTGTAAAATGCTAAACAACATTATCGAAACAACTGCTTGTCAAACATAAAAAGCACTGAGAACAAAGCAAATCTAAGTTACATTTCTTTTATTAGGATGAACAACGAGGCATAAAACAGATATGAGCAACACTGATGCGTGTCTCTTCTTCTCACACAAAAGACAAGGACAAAGCCAGGAAAGCATCCTATAGAAATTTCACAGAAACAAATGGTACCTTCATGAGGTATCAAATGACCCATCAAATACACTTGAATGCACCAGGAGCCTTCTCTTAAACCCAGAGAGCTTCTGTCAGTCACTCTGCAGTTTGTGGTGGCTGGGACAGAACGGGGTACTCACCTCCATCTTCCACTTGGCCATCCACTCCTCCCTGGTCCGTTTGCTAATGTAATATGGGTCACCAGCCTGGAAGGTTATTCTGGGCATGGGCCTCTGACGAAGGCTGATCTCCCAACCAACTCCCCCTCGTTGCCTGCCTCGACCTCCCTGTTTAAGGTGTAAAAGAAAGTTAGCTACTAGTTTTCGGTTCCTTCTATGAACTATTTTTACAATGCAAAAGATAAACTGTTTATCTAATCTGACACTATGACTTGTATATGGCAAGATGTTTCATGTATTTATTAGGTATCCTTGACTTAGAAAATGCACTGCACTGGTTGCACGTTTGGTTACACAAGTTCAACAAACTCTACCTACTAACACATTTTTGCCAACTAGTTGGAACAGAATTCATACTAGTCAGCAGTTTTGCTAAACTAGTTGACTGAAAGTCTCAACTAGRCTGCTTTAACCACACTAGTGGTTAGTCTAGTAGTTCACACTGGTGAATTACTAGAACAAAACAATCTATGACATTAAAAAATCTTTAAATTTTAACTAATCAATACAAATTATGTCTAATAGTCTAAATGACTGTCAAATGTGTGAACTAGAGTGAAACACACTCCTAAATGCTCAATAGCTGAGCCGTTACCACATTTTGTCAAACAGTGCACCTACAATAAATGACTAYGTAACTATTAAAGCCAAACTGTGTTGACTAGTACAATTGATGTCAAGGAATAAATAAATGCACTAAAAGCTTGGTGAAARATTGGAATCGTCTAAATAAAAGTGATTTATTTGATGAAGGGAGGCCACAAAGTCTAATCAAAACTCAACGAACAGTGTCAAGTCAAGAGGCAAGAAATGCTCCCAAGTGTATTTGATATTTCCACTCTATACACCATTAGGTACCATTTTTTTTCACAATTTCAAAGGCTAGGGGACATTTAAGTCTTCCAAATGTTCTGGTTGGCTTTTAGAAACCTTCAAATCTAGAAAAAATGTAGGCCAATATGATTTCCAGTACAAACTTTTAGGTTAATATCAGAGAGAAGCATGTTTAAAAGCCTTTTGCTAAAAAAGCTGTCTAAAGAAAAATGTAATGAAGTTATTAAAATGTTTATAATATCTTCAACAAAAAATAAGCTGTCCAGATGACCTACTCCACTTTTTTCCCTACTAGATTGATAAGTTATATTAGGACATTTTGAACACACACTGGCTGTAGGTCTCATGCATTGAGGATTTAACTTAATGATTATTTAAATTTTCTCAAATAAAAAATAACCAATCAGTAATATGAGATACACATTTTTTTAATCTAACTGAATATTTACCAGAGTTATTTTAGGATTGTTTTAATTTGTTTGAATAAACTTTGAAAAATGTACTTGATAAATATCCAGAAATATAAAAAAATGAATTTTATAAGTAGCTATAAATTCAGCAAAAGCATCAGTAAGTTATCACCTGCCGCCAAAAGCAATAATGTTTTTGCTTGTGATTAGGCATGGGCGGTCTCAAAATATGGTGATGGTATAAAAAAAATCTGACAGAATCAGTCACGGGAGGTGATGCGCCAAATTTCCCGGCAATTTCCACAAGGATGCGAAGAAAACTGGGACATAAACCTTCTAGGTTCTTTCAGAAGACGCCCCATGATGTTACTGATGCGAATTCTGACCACCTCTGCTCATCCAGAAGACAAACGGGGGGAAAAGGGGGCAGCAGAGACACCCCTGTCTGTCGTCTCAGCAGAGTTTTTTCCCATGCCTCTCTGGCTCTATATGTATGTAAAGGCTCATTGTTTCCCTGTTAATTAGTAATTATTCAACACTCCACAGACCATACCCCCACCCCTGGTAATACCATATGCCATAGTATTTTCTAAAGGTTATACTGTGGTATGATAATGATCAATCCTGCCCAACCCTTTCTCCTCACTGTGTCTATAGTCTTAAAAAGATACCTGATGAACCACTGGATTATTTTCTATGAAAGTAGTCATTGGGTCCATTCACCTTTGGAGTCAAATCAATACAAAATGCCTGGCCCATTTAGTCACACTTAAGACTACATAAAAATGACTACATGTCCTTTATGTCTTTTTTAATTTTATTTATAAGGACAATGTGCAATTAAAAGAGAAACATAAAAACATTTGATGCATTGCACCAGATTTAGCCTACGGCTAGTTTACGTCCTCCTAATAATAAAAACAAAACAACATCCAACTATAATAAAAACAAGAAAATAACAGAAAAAGAAAATTACAAAATAAAACATTTTACAATCAACAATAAAAATACATAAACACCCCAACCCGCTCTCCAAACACAATTAAAAAGTTATATCACTAAACATTCAACAAAAACCCCGCAACTCCCCCAAACCAAAAGCAAACTCTAAAATTGATAACCCAGTGCAATTCAGAGATTGCACTGAGTAGATTTAAGATACCTCTATGGTCACTTCACGTGTACAGGCTTGTGCAATGACAGTAAAGACTATTCTATTCTATTCTATTCTATTCTATTCTATTCTATTCTATTCTATAACTTTGTCAAATTTACAGATGCTGAGATAAAATTTGGAATGGCAGTAGCTGAGACAGTAACAGATAGGGTGATAATGTACAAAACTGATATTGCTCTCRTTATTACTCACATGAACCATTTGATAGGTGGCATGAAGAGATGTGATGTTTGCGAACAATCCAAATTTTTTGAACGGATCCTTACAACGAACGATAAGAACCAAGCTGCAGACAGTCTTTTTATTTTTTCCTCCTTAACTACAGAGACGATCGCTCCTCCTTATGGAGTACAACTCAGTGGGAAGGGTGGAGGGTGGTGTTTCTGCTTGATATGACACATGGTACCGTCCACATGAAAGAATGATGTCATCACGTACAGCGTACATGATAGCGTATATCATTATGACAAAGCTTGTTCAAAATAGAATGGCTCTATGAAACAAACAGCTCATCAAGATCTGGATCCCTTCAAAAAGCCATTTGGCCCATCTCTAGRCACAATATCCCATCTAAGTTCTAGTTCCTTTAGGAATCTAGCATTCCTTCAAGAAATGTTGTGCTTTTGGTTATGACCAAAGATTTAAAAAGAAGAAAACAACTCTTGAGTTTACTGGCAATAGCTATGTTTACATGTGCAAAATTTTTTAATCGGATTAAAATGTATTCGTAATAAATAATCCAGATGTATCGTTTACATGGACACAAAATTAATTATTCCAATCATGACGAGGGTTTACATGCACCAGGCTTTTATTCAGTATAGAAGTACTGACAAGCGCAGAGTTGTAAATGTTCCCTAAAGACACAAGTTCTATGTTCTATGATGAACATAAACAAATGTTCTGTCTTCTGAGTGCCCAGAATTGAGCCRCACCAGGTTTTGATAATGGAGATGTTACTGCACCCTGTGTTCCTACGCTTTCGACCATCAAGGCGTTCAATAATTTTGAGCTGTTTCAAAGTATCTAATATAAAGTTTGCATTGCTAATGGATCAGTTTTGCTTCTTCGACATGTTAGCATTTAGCCAGCTGGAAATATGTCAGGTTGAAATAGGGTGCATATGCGCATTCATGTCAGTTTTCCACAACCAGAATAACATGATCAGAATAAGTGTTTACATGAACGCTGTCTGGATTATCAATCAGCATAAACCACTCCTCTCATACAGATTGCAAATTTATTCCTATCGAGCTGAATCAGATCAGAATATTCTGATAGGGGTATTTAAATGTTGCATTTTTATTCTGATTACCGTATTTTTCGGACTAAAAGCCGTGACTTTTTTCCTGAACTTTGAACCATGCGGCTTATAGTCCGGTGCGGCTTATAAGTGGATTTTTTATTCAGCCACCAGGGGGCTCTTTAGCTGGAGGTGGGTGCTCTGTAGCGGAGGTGGGGGCACTTAGCCGGAGGTGGGGGCTCAGAGGTGTGGTTACCGCGCATAAAAGGAGAAAGACGAAACAGGCGCCATTTTATTTTAGCTAGTAGCAGACACGGCACGACGGATCTTCGACAGACACGATATTTCTCTTCAAATTCAAACGCGCTCACCATGGAAAAGAATAGAAGATCTTCCTATGATGTCACTTTTAAGCTGAAGGCTATTAAAATTGCACAACAGGAGGGAAATAGAGCCACTGCACGTAAGCTCGGCCTGAACGAATCAATGGTTTGGCGTTGGAGGCGGCAGCAGGAAGAACTCGTTCAGTGCCAGAAGATGAGAAAAGCTTTCAGAGGACATAACATTAGGTGGCCTGAACTGGAAGATCTTCTTGAGGATTGGGTAAATACCCAGAGAGCAGACGGCCGAGGTGTATCCACCGTGCAAATCCGCCTGAAAGCCAAAGCAATGGCTCTCCAGATGAACAATGAAAATTTTAATGGCGGACCGTCCTGGTGTTTTAGGTTCATGAGTAGAAAGACCTGTCCATCAGGACACGGACAACTCTCTGTCAGCAACTCCCCCCGGACTACCAGGAAAAACTCACAAATTTCAGACAATTTGTTGAAACAAAGATCGCAGAGAACGCCATCGGACCGGACAACATCATAAATATGGATGAAGTGCCACTAACATTTGATATGCCTCTGACTAAGACCGTAAACTAGACCGGTGAATCTTCCATTATGGTGAAAACAACCGGACACGAGAAGACACATTTCACCTGTGTGCTGGGCTGCACTGCTTCTGGAAAGAACCTCCCCCCAATGGTGATTTTTAAGAGCAAAACTATGCCGAAAGACCAACTCCCGAAGGACATTGTTGTGAAAGTCAACCAGAAAGRATGGATGGTAGAAAATCTGATGAAGGACTGGTTAACGGAGTGCTACGGAAAGCGCCCAGGAGGATTTTTCAACTAGAAAAAAGCACTGCTTGTTATGGACAGTATGCGGGCCCACATCACGGATTCGGTGAAAGAAGCCATCAAGAAAAACAACTCAATTCCTGCTGTTATTCCTGGAGGTACAACAAAGTTTGTGCAATCCCTGGACATCAGTGTGAATTGTGCATTTAAAGCAGCACTCAGGGCTGAATGGGAGGCTTGGATGACTGACGGGGATAAATCATTCACAAAAACTGGCCGAATGCGAAGAGCGTCATTTTCTGATGTCTGCCAGTGGATCCTAACAGCGTGGAGCCGAGTGAACGAGTCCACCATCACAAATGGGTTCCGAAAGGCTGGACTGCTACGTGAAGAGGACACCACAGCTTCAGAGCCAGCCTGGGAGGACAGCGACACAGAAAGCAACACTGAACAGATACCACTGTGTGACGCAGCTTTTCTCAGCTAGTTTAACTCCGACACTGAAGAGGAGGACTTCAACGGTTTCAGTGCGCCGGAGGACGATGAATGAGACGTTTTGTTGGACCAGAAACAGTTAAAGAAAACTACCAAAATAAGGTCAGTTAAATGAACCATATTCATCCGAACTTTACCGGTAATTCCTAAAGCTTTGCTTTTTATGTTTTAATTCCAGACCTCTCGCCTTATTTTTTCCCGAGAGTTATTTTTTATTATTATTTTGTACCGGTAAACTTGCCAACCTTTTTCTTGAATAATAAATGTGATGTTGAATTCACTTTTTTGACGACAATTTTGGGTGTACTGTTTTGTTTGTTTTTTATTGATGGGGGTGCGGCTTATAGTCCGGTGCGGCTTATATGCTAATGTTCGTGGGGGTTTTTTAATGGCGGGTGCAGCTAATAGTCCGAAAAATACGGTAGTCATTTATTATTTATGTCCGTGTAAACATATCTATTGACACCCTACTAGTATCTGATTGACAGAGGGCAAATATTCTACTTTCTTAAGTTGAAAACAAATTTTTGATGCTGAAAAAAAATGTGCCCAGTATGCAACCTAATCACTTGTCTTACTGGCAACCAGAGAACATACAGCTTGAGAGAGCAGACATAATTCAGTCTCCAAACAAATAAAAGCGACTGCCCTCCAAAATGAGATAGAACCCTTACATCAGCCAGAGAACAAAGACAAACTACAAAAATCTTACCTCCGTCTTGATTGCATCGCACCCGTCGTCCTCTTTGTGCTCCACATCTAGGGAGAAGACAGCAACACAAYGGATGGTTTGAATCATTGATGGGAAGGAGGGAGCTGACTTTGGTTGTCCTTGTATCTGTTAAACTCACATTGCCTTTTATTCATCAATAAACAATGTAAAACATTCATTATTTGAATGTTGAATCATCATTTTTTGTTTTATCCATACATTTCTTTTGCAATTGAAATACTTTTGCATATTTTGTGCTATATTATCGATTCATATATCAAAACATTTTACTCATTTGGAAGATGGGTGGTAGGACTTCTGTGTTTTGTAAATTTTATACTTTTCAAAATTTTCCAATATTTTCCCTTTAGAAATACAGTGAGATTTCTTCATTTCCTTCAAAAATCTCAAATCTGCTTCAGTATTCTTGTTCTGTATAGTTTTCTTATTACTTTATCTTTCAGCTAGTCTCTTGCTGCTTTTATCCTGTTGCTAAAATTGTGCTATTTTAGCTACCTTTTTGATACTTTTCTAGTCTTTTGATACTTTAGGTTTTCAACATGTTTATTTTTTGCTATCTTCTTGCAACTTTTCTAACCATCATTTTTATACATCCTTTTTTATACAGCCATTTGCTACATTTTAGCTAGTCTTATACTACTTCATCTTTTGCTAGTGTTTTGGTTTTAACTTTAATACCTCTTTTTAGCTTCATCAGCAAATAGCAGCAGTTATTCAGCACTCTGAATTCATGCTGTATTTTCTTAACATTATTTATGTGTTTGGTGAAATTAAAGGGAAATCAGTTAAAAGTTGAAGAGACAGTGACTCCGGGAATCTGGTTTGCATTTAGAGTAAAAAGTAATCAGGCATATGTTCAAGCACAGAATCCTATGAGGATTTGAGAGACAAACATGTTTTGCTTTTAATTACAGTTGTAATGGTTTTATAGCTTGGATGATTTACTTACAAAGTGGGCAGCTTTTCTCACTGCAGTGTAGTAGTCTTTGGGGCATTTCATTAAATCCTTACAATACACAGACAAGAGAACTGGCACAAGCTAACGATAAGATGATAAAGTTTATCATTTTAACATCCACTATGTGTCAATAAGAATAACGAACTGTACCTGCGTTCCTCTTTTACTCTGAACACCCCCATCTGTCCCTTTTGCCTTCTCTCTATACATCTGTGACTCAGACCTTTCAGTCATGGTTTTAGTTAGAGTCAATAACCAAAATTTCAACTCAGATGTCAAACCAAACCATAATGTATAATGTGACTGAAGGTCTTCATGCTCAATAATGATTTTTTTTTTTGCATGGACATCATATTTTAAATGTGACCTCCATTTGACTCCAGTGTGAACTCCCCACTGCACTGATGTGACCCACATAAGCAGAAAATGACACAACGTCCCATTCAGATGACTTTTTGCAGAAGTAGCTTGTGGATGCTACTTGTTAGCATGTCAATTCTAGAGTTGTTGTGCAGTCAGAGCCAGGTAAATAATTATCTGACATGCTTGTTTAGTTGAGTATTTAGTTGATATTTTGAACCTGCCTCTGGCCAGCTGCTCCGATGCAGCATGTATTTATGGAACAGGAGCAACATGCTGAAAATAAAACTAACTAAAATATTGTTCCAATAACTTTAGTATCAATACTGTCCAATGCTAAACTACTAACACTTCTAGGGTTTGACAAATACCACTGCACATAAAATGCAAATTTGGGCAGGTGGATGTGTCCTGATCCCTGGTACCAGACATATAAGAAATTCTTTATTTTTTATAATGGCCATTTTATAAAAAAAATTCTGAAAATAAATGAATAAATAGCATTTTAAAGCGCATAGACAGAGGATAATGCTGCATTTTGAGTGTTAAAAATGCATCTAACACTTCACGTTGGATGCTTGTGCACTTTGTGGTCAGACACTCAACACAATTGCTCTAGACGTGCATCACGCACGTCTGGAAGAGCCTCTTGATTGTTTCCTCTGCAGGTCTCTGTACAATGGTAGATGAAATGGAGAGTGGCTTGGCTGTATTTAGTGAGAGCAAGAGCACATTGTCGCTGGGCGCCTGTGCCGTGTCTGGATTCACCAGGTAATTCAAAGGAGTTCTGAGTTTGGTGAGGTTCACCACTCCAGGACTTGTGCACTGACGAGGGTTGCTTTCAGTACTATTTATGTCCCGAGCCCAGTTTGATGAGCTGATGACTTGCATAGGTACCTGCATCTCCTGCCAGGACACCGACTACAGGCGTTCAATTTCAGCTAAAGAGCTCCTGTCCATCTGTCTCAGGTTAGTGGACATAACTAGGTTACAAACCGGAGTCTCTCTGATTGGTTGACGCTGCGCGCCGAGCTGCAAAAGTTCAAATTTAAAATAAATTTTAAATACTTTTGGTTTTTAAGAGATTGTAACAAACATCTGATGCTTGTGCTACAACCTTTTGTTCTGTGCTACAAAACCAGAAACTTCTGTAGCACCAGTGCTATAAGCTATAAAAGTTAATATACACAAGCAGTGTGCAGGTGCGCTTGCGGTGTCAAAAAAGGAAAAAGCGCACCAGATGGGACGTCATAAAGCTCCCTTGCGTACTTAAGATTGTACCTGACTGTCTGACAAAACAACAGCTAGCAGGGCTCTAGAGTGCGACCAGTTTGGTTGCAAAGGCGACCAAAAAAAAAAAAAAAAAAAAAAAAAAGAATCCAGCCACTCTGGTGTGAATGGATCGTTCGGTGCGCCACAGCTGGACCCTGATATAACGATTAAACGGACACTGCCTTCAACAAATCAGTTGAAATCCAGAGCCGTTTTATCCAATCAAAGCAGAGCAGGGCGGGACTTTCAGTGAGAGCAAGTTTGGTTGAAGCAGCGGGCCGGCTCGACTGGAGTAACTGCAGCGACGCGAWCAGTCCTGGTTTCTCCGCTCCTCCTGTACTTTGCTCCTGAACTACCAGACTTTGGTCTGTAAAATCAAACTTTTTATTTCAATATATGTTCAGAATGTTGTTATTGAACAGATCTGTCCAACTTTGTGTGAGTGACTAAACTCTCCTCCTGAGAGACTGCTGTATGAGCACGTCGCTGCATGCACAGGCTGAGTCTGTCTGTGAGATTCACTGTTTTTCTAACTAAACCACATTAACTAACAGAACATTTCTTTGCCCCATATTAAAGCAAAGATGATTCTCTRTTTAACACCCCAGGCAAAAAATTATATATACCTGTATATATATATATTAAAAAAATAAAAACAACTTGCCATGTTCTCTAGGTGAAAGAGTTTTAAATCTTATTTTAATTTATCATAAAGATCCACAAATTTCATTCACAATTTTATATAAAAAAAACAAGGTTCTTGATGTGCTAAACTTGTTTATATTTAGGACCATACTGTGATACAGCTTTTCTGGTATAAATGTAATTTATTAAACGATCAAATACGAAGAATAAATAATTACATGAGCTGAAACCATCTAAATAGTATTATCTTTTTGAATAAAATAGTCTTTTAAAAAAGAAATCAGTCTAACAAATAAAACATTTGTATGTTTTAAGTTATTTTGCTCTCTGCAAAAGACAGATATTTGCTGCTTGGACTGGAGTGTGGAAAGCTGGTTTAACCAAGGCCAAAGATCCAGAAGACCAAATAGGAGTTGTCCATCTGAGGGACATGTTAGTCTAAAAGACATTTAACCATGAAATGTTCAGTTTGTGATGTTTATATGACACCCAGCCCCTCGGCCACTTAGGTAGTTTACAAAATTTATGCAGCGTAAAATAATAAATTAAAAAACTTGGACTGATTTGGCATGATGTCCTGAGACGTTGCAGCTGATAGGAGTCATAAAATAGAACAGGGGGACGTTAGATGMCCTGACGCCCCTCTAGATAAATGTGTTAAATGAGTGAAGGAAAACATGAGTGAGCACCAAGCAACAACCCTAGGTTCTCCCCTGAGAACCAGACCAAAAATTTTATGTGCAACCCTGAATATACAGCTCTAAACAACAACTGTAGTTGTTTACTCACCTGAGTCAGAGGAAAAACTTTTATTTTCTTGTAGAAAACTTTTAAAACCCCGGCCATATCAAATTTTATCTCAATATCTAAATATAAAACTAACTGAGATATAACGAATTTGTATCTGCTAAGGCGGCTTAGCTGTTGGCCATTTTGCACTGGGATGACTCTAAAATTTATTCAATTTTAGATGGACACAATTACTGTTTTATGAAAGTTTCATTAAAATCTGGCCAAGATAAAGTATCTTGCTAACGGACAAAACTGACTTACAGTACATAATTGTCAGCAAAACTTTGAAAAACACAATTTTTTTGTTCGCGTTCAAAGTATAGTATGTGTTCAGGACAAGTCTTAGCTACTACCACACTAAATGTAGGCATATAATGGATTTAAAATGCACTGTATGTTCATCTGACTCTAAAACTTAATTAGCTGTTGACCATTAAATTATGATTTTTGACAAGTTTCGTTCAAATCTGTCCAGAGGATCATGAAATATTTTGTTAAAAGACAACACACACATTTCCTCACGCTTGCATCAAAACGACATTGTATTGACTTCCATTCATTTTTGTAACTGTATTTATGCCTAACCCTGACATTTTCCCTAAAACTAAYCATTACTAGTCTATACCTGACATTAACCTGAACCTGTTCTGTTTTTGTTCAGAGTCACCTTCAACAAGTGACCAGCTGAGCCCCCGGACCGCTGCTCCACCTTCTCAGCCATCGATCGGTACCGGCTGCCTCRCTATCCGGGTCAAAGAAGCCAGGGGCAGGTAGCTACAGGAGAGCTGCTCCCATTAAATTCTGACTATAAAGTAGTTTTTTTAAATGTAGTTCTACGTATATTGTCTGACTTCTATTTTGTGCAATAAAGATAATATCGTCAATGCTGTTTGTTTTTCATTGAGTTAAATCCGTAAGGAAAAAAACAACATATTTACTTAGGCATAAAGTGTGCAKTAATTGTAAGTTCATTTATAAGAAAATCATTTTGATTTTGTT